AGAAAGAAAAGAAAGAAAGAAAGAAAGAAAGAAAGAAAGAAAGAAAGAAAGAAAGAAAGAAAGAAAGAAAGAAAGAAAGAAAGAAAGAGACCCATGTCGTATATACATACATGGAATAAGGAAATAATAAGGAAAAGGGATTGTGGCACAGCCATTTCCCCTGGGGAATAACTTCTCATTTTCCCTCTCCTCTCTCTCTCTCTGTCTCTCTCTGGTGAGTGTACACACCTGATAACAGAAAAGAAAAGAAAAAAAAAGAATAGTTCATTGGGATTTCTACACCTTATACCTGCTCTCTAGAACCATGTTTACTAACATTTAATATCTTTAACCTGGTTTCCAGGATCTATCAAAACTGAAAAGGAGAATTTGGGTAAGTAGACAAAATACCGTAATAACCAGAAATATACAGCTTGTCCTATGTGTTGGTAAAATGGCATTCTGTCTACTACAATCTGTAGTAAAAATTATTAAGGTCTTATGAAATCTGAATAGCTGACCAGCCAGCCGTGGACTAGATCACACCACGAGGCCCCTATGAATAACACACTTATATTGCTTATAACGAAACTTAAAAACTTAAAATTTATCTATTATTCTTCTATTTTGTCTCTAAATTAGCACCTTAAAAAAGTGAGGTCATTAGTTCTAAATGGCAGGTTCCTGTAAAGGAATCCCACGTAACTACTACTCAGAGACTGAGCCCAACTACATGTTTGTATTTTTACAGCCATTTGGAGATACCAGTCCAGTTTTAGAAACACTATACAAGGTTTACTGAGTTCACAAAAAGAAGGGAAGACACTGAGTCTCAGGGATCTTGTTCGAAGACATAACCAACTGTCCTCGAACTGCCTCTATCATGGGAGAAAGGTGCAGGAAGTCAGCTCAGATATGACGCTACCTCTTTGCCTAATCCAGTAGAGGGGGAACAATGCTTGAGAATGAGTGATGGGTAAGCCCATGGCTAGGACCTGGGGTCAGGTTAGAGTCCAGGGAGTCATCAGAGCTTGGTCTTCTGCGTTTCTAGGTTGATCATGTCTCCTTGGATATGGGGAATCTTCTTATCTTCCGACCCCTGAATTTTCTCTGCAGTTACAGGAATGTAATAGTAGGCCATGATGGAGAAGATCAGGAAGACCACCAGCAGAAGGCAGGCAAACAAAATGAATTCAGCCCACTGCAGGGAACAATAAATATAAGAGAAGAATGTGGAGAAGCTGGAAATTAATGGGGTCTTCTACTGGATGAGGTAATGGGTCCAGACTGACCCAGGATCATTGTGTAAACAGACTTTTGCTAGAAGACTGGGCCTATAGTGATCATTATGATCACCTACAAATGTCTATTTTCCTTGTAAAGTTTGTGTATAACCCATCCCATGTCAGAGAACACAGTGGGGGGTGGTGGGAGGAGATGGATGGAGAGAAAGGGAGAAAAGGAAGTGGGAGGGACTACTTCGGGTACACCCGAGCTCCTGCTTTTCTCAGATCCATACCTGTACCAGGCTACTGAACTGTGCCACCACAAGCACAATGATATTGCCGACTGCCACTGTCAACAACCAGGCTGCCTGGAGTACAGATTTCATGCTAGCAGGAGCCTAGAAAGGACACACGTTTGTAAATAAACAAACTCCCCTCACCACCCTCATGCCCCATGTGTCTATCCAGGAAATTTCTCCCACAGAAAATTCAAGATTCAAACTTGTCCCACCAAGTTAAGCCAAAACTTTGATTCAGAGGGCAGTAATAATGTTAACAATAAGGATAAAATGGAGCTCTTAATAGAATATTTTAATTTAATTTATTAATATCATATCATCTTATTACAACTCTAAGAGATAAGTTCTATTAGCATTCTAATGTGTTTTATACATAAAGAAATATGGAAATAATTATTCACTTGCTCACGGTTATGCCATATTAATAGGTATGCAGCCTAAATTTGAACATAGGCAGTTTAACTCCACAGCTTTTAGTCTTCCTTTTTAACTATGCTTTCCTAGAACCCAAACAGTATAGACACCAAGAGCCACGATGACTCTTCAGGGTTTTATTTAAGAAAGCCCAGGCCAAAAGAGATGGATGGTGAAAACTGCATACCTATTTAAGGTTGTTCCAGAATTCAAACTTAACCATCTATCAAACAGCATCTCCACTTCCACCTCCCACTTACAAAAACTTACCTGAGAATAAGAAAACTCAAGTCCTGTGACAGAGAACATGACCTCCCCAGCTGTAACCAGGGCATACTGTGGGAGCTGCCATGCAATGGAAACTTTGTTGGCTGGAATATCTTCCATCTTCCAGACCTGGAGACCCTTATTGGTGCTCTTAGCAGAAAAAAGAGAAAACGGGCTTGTCAATAGTCTCAACTAAGTATTCCTGATTACAGCGTGCTCTGATTTTATATCTATCCCCTTTGTCTCTTTCCATCCTTGACTACCTTCCAGAGACTGAGCATTTCTACACAATCTAGATTTTTCTTTTTTTTCTTTTTCTTTTTTTTGGAGAGATTTTCACTGTAGGGCGCATGCGCTCGCCAGACAGACAGAGAGAGACATAGAGACAGAAAGTGAGAAATCACCCCCCAGGAGGGATGGTCACGCCGCAATCCCTTCTCCTCCATTCTCCTCTCGGGATCTTGGGCACGCACGCACACGCGCCCGGCATGAGTTTTAAGCCACCGGGTCCGGGACACAAACCGCGGTCGACTACGTGGGAGTCCAGCGACATAGCCATTACGCTAACTGCTGGTTCCCTAGATTTTTCTTTTTAATTGCCAGGTATGTTCACTCACCAGAGAGAGACAGAGAGAAAAAAATAGAAAGTAAGAAAGCACCCCCCACACATGTACACCTCCATGAAGCCTTCATTTCCACAATCCCTTCTCCTTCCTTTCTCCCTCCTATCAGGATTTGGTGCATTCATATATATGCAACCAGCATATTGTTCAAGCCCTGAATCTGAGATTCAAACCACTTGGTCAACCATGTGGGATCGAGCTGCATTAACCATCAGGCCACAGGATGGCCTAAATTCTAGATTTTTCAAATTTGTTTGATAACACTACCTATAACTTACATGACTGCAGTCAAACAGATACCATTACTAACAGAGACTTTAAATGGCATAATATTTTGAAATTGTACTTTCAATTTTTATCATTTTGATCTTTTGGGCATTTTGATCCTGGACAACATTTTAAATATAAAATGGCAAGACCTGCAGGTGGCATGGTGATGAGGTGTTAGGCTCCCACATGGCTACTACAGTTTGAGTTCCGGACCTGGCAGCTTGCTTTCTCACTTTCCCCCTCTCTCTCACTGGTCAAATTAAAAAATAGTAAAAATAAATAAAGTAAAACAAATAATTCTTTTAAATTTTTAAATAAATATAAAATGGTCTTTGAATTATACAAACAAAATGAACAGAAAGCATTTTGCTGAGAAAAGCTCAATTCCTCATTCTATTTTCTTGGTAAGTATAATTAAACTATTTTAACATTTTCTAGTTTAATCTTTATTTACTGAAATTACTTTCATCAGTATGAATTATTTTCTTGATAACTCTTATATTATAGTTTTTATTAATCAGTTTTTAAAAGCCAAATCACACACTTCCTACTATTTTGAATTCTGTTTATTTATTATTTTTTAAAAGAGGCTTTTGCCTTAGGGTGCATGTGTTTTCCCGAGACAGAGAGAGTGAGAGAGAGAGAGAGGAATAATGAGAAAAAATGAGAAATCACTCCCACAGGGAGTTAACCATATCACAATCCCTTCTCTTCCACTCTCCTCTGGGATCTTGGGCATGTATGCACACATGCCCAACATGATTTTCAAGCCACTGGGTCCAGGACTGGAACCACAGTTGGCCATGTGGGAGTCCAGTAATGTAACCACTTCACTATCTGCTGGCCCCTATTTGCTATTGTTTTTTAATTCAAATTTTACATATCAAAATTTTGTCAAAAAAGATCTACTTTTGGGACCAGCAGTTAGTGTAATGGCTATGTCGCTGGACTCCCACGTAGTCGACCGTGGTTCAAGTCCCGGACCCGGTGGCTTAAAACTCACGCTGGGCGCGTGTGCATGCGTGCCCAAGATCCCGAGAGGAGAACGGAGGAGAAGGGATTGTGGCATGGCCATCCTCCCTGGGGGGTGATTTCTCGCTTTCTGTCTCTCTGTCTCTCTCTGTCTGTCTGGTGAGCACATGCGCCCTACAGCAAAAACCTCTCAAAAAAAAAAAAAAAAGATCTACTTTCTTATAAGATTTTGTCCAAAAAAGATTTTTTCAGAGTCAATTATTTTTGTTATCAATATTACAAAATATATGTTTCAACAATAAATTTTAACTTTACTTTTACTATATGCACATTTTAAGCTATTGTTTGTTTTATGTAAATTTTATCTACTAATACCTTTTACTATAAATGAAATAACAATTTAAAACTTGTGTGTATTTCTTGAAGTAACACCATTATTAAGTAGTAAGTGTTGTATCTGGTCATAAAACTGAATAAAAATTGTAGAATTAAAACATCAAGATCAAAAGTACTTAAAATCAAAGGTCTTTGCTGTCCAAATGCCCTTGGTTTTAAGTCAAGAGACCACTGAGTTTAAAATAGTAAGTTGAAGGAGTCCTGTTTGCTTCTGTTGGTACTATAATTAATGCCTAGGTAGGTGTTGTGTTTTCTTTTCTTTTAAAGAATTATTTTACTCTAATAAATTACTTTATTTATTATTTATTTATAATTTGACCAGAGAGGGACAGAGCAAGAGAGAGAGGGAAAGTGAAAAAGCAAGCCACCCGGTCCAGGACTTGAACCACGGTGGGCCACATGGGAGTCCAGCACCCTTAACCACCATACCACTTGCCGGTCCCAATGTGTTGTGCTTTCTCAACATAAGAGGACACCACAATCAGAGTTTCTAGATGAAGATCAGGCACTCAAACGTCCACAGACAGGTAACTAAGAAAATGAAACAGGCTGAATGAGAATGATGGGGACTTTGGGGACTTAGACTGCTCCGTTCCACCTAAAGGACAGAGCTACTACAGCACCTAACACAGTAATACCTGTTATGAAATCATCTGAATTTTTCCAAACAATTGTTAGTAATCCAATTTCTTAGGTAAAATTTCTTGAATTTCAAATATTGGCACTTAATTATTTTATGATTTATGTCAACACAGTATAAGCCAAATAAAATAGGACAATGGAAGGAACTGGGTCTCCAGACTACCAATTTATGATCTTGAGATTCTAGTACTCAGAAATAATATATATGGCCTCTATATTGAGCAAGATATGAAAGCCAGAGCAAATTAAAAATGAACTAGCACCAGAAATGCAAGGTTATGGGTTGAACTGGTTTCCTCCTAAACTCACATGTTGAGGTCCTATCTCAACATGTGGACTTATTTGGAAGTAGACTGTGGTAGCCGTATAGTCAAATTAAAATGAGGGCATGAGGGTGGGCCTAATCCAATATAACAGGCATCCTTATTTTTCTAAGAGGGGGAAATCTGGACACAGGCACACAGGAAAAATTCTATATGAAGACAAAGGCAGACATTGAAGTGATTCTTCTACACACCAGGGAATACCACATATTTCAGCAAAGCACCAGAAGCTATGGGAGAGACACAAAACAGAGTGTTCCTCATAGCCGGCAGGAGGAACCAACCTTATCAACCTCTTGATCTGAGAGTTAGTCTTTCAGTGATGACTTGAGATAAATTATGTCTCTTTTCCCCAAAACCCTGTTCCTGCTGCTGTTCTCTCTTTCAGCATTCTCTACGAAAGACAGCAGGCTTTTGAAAGCCACTCACTGTAGAACCTGTCACCTTACACTAGTAATAAGTATGTGATTCTGTGCTCTTGCCAGAGTATTCTCTTTTGTTTGGGAAGGGAGGTGTGTTGCAGAGGAGAAGGGGAGGAAGTTGTGAGCTACTTACATTAGTAATCACAAACAGGTATGCTGCACCAAAGTCTAGTAGACCCAAATTCAGAAAAAAGTCCTTATCTTCTGTTCTACAATGCACGGCAGGGTATCTGGAACAAGTTGAGTTCAGGGCAGGATAAACAACACAGCTGAAAATAAGTATTCCTATGTCCGGGAAAAGAGTGATCTCATCTTTCTACTGATGGTGAGGAAAGCAGTGAAGCCACCATTTCTCTTTAAAGAAACACTTTCTGAAGCATAGATTATTTCCATGCTAGGGTTTTCATCCCTGATCTGAACTCTTCATTGCCTTCGAGGAATTTATATTGATCTGAAAGTTGAATAAAGAAGGTACAAATTACCTTCTTTTGTGGACTTCAGGCCCAGGTGATTTCTCATGCATAGCTTAGTGAACCGGCATGAAACAATTCACCTGAGAGGATAAACTCTTAAGTAATGAGGCGGCAACTGGAAGTACCAAAGGGTAAGGGCAGGAACCAATAATTAACTTCGGGCCATGTTAACTACCGTTTGACCTTCACAGCCATCATGATCTTGGTCTACCTGTGCAGAAAGAGGCGAGACTGAGAGAAGTCTGCCTATACTCAAAATTCACTCAAATGTACTTAGGTCTCCCATCTATACAGAAAGAGCATTTATAAAACAATTTTTTATAAAATTGTCCACAGAGACAAGGCTCTTACTCTCCTCTTTGCACGGTTCTGTAAGCAGATACACCATAATCTTCAGCAACACTGATGGAGATGTCTGTACCCAGGGAGATGTTGACATCTTTATTCAAAGTGTTAACGAACCTGAGGGAGAGACATTATTTACACATCAGACAAACACACCCAAATAGGGACACCTGAAGAGAGGTAGGGTGGTTCCCGTGCCTAGAATAATGACTGGGACATAAAAGCTACATCATCTATAAAGTTAACTGGACAAATGAATGAACTGAGTAGTTTTAGCCATTCCTAACTTTCTTCCTGAAACACGAACTTTTACCTGTCACAGCCTCACCAGATCTCTGGCTGAATGGACACTATCATGGTCACCCATGGCAAGCTGACTTTCCTCACTAATCCATCCCATTTCTTTCTTTCATAATGATGGAATCCAACAACTGAAACTTTACTACAAAAGATATGATAATTATGTTTAATAAAGAAATAATGGTATTTACACAAAACTGATACCTTATCCTGTTATAAATGAAGTCTGATTTGACTTACGCAAAACTCAGCCCATAGTAAGTAATCATTGTTTTAAAGTCTGAAGAAATTTTGGGCCCTTCCAGAACCTTATTTCTAGTTTGGTTTTTTGAAGAGATTTTTGCTATAAGGCACACACACTTGCCAGAGAGACAGACAGAGACAGAGGCGCAGAAAGTGAGAAATCACCCCCCTCAAGGGGGATGGCCATGCTGCAATCCCTTCTCCTCCATTCTCATCTCAGGATTTTAGGCACACAGACACACACACACCTGGGGTGAGTTTTAAGTCATTGGGTCTAGGTCTCAAACCACAGTTGACTACATGGGAGTCCAGAGACGTAACCATGACACCATCTGCTGGTCCCACCTTATTGCTAATTTTCTAAATGTTGGCCCCTAGACCCCTTTGACATGTTTTTTTGTTTGTTTTTAACATTTCTGGTTTGATAGCTTTTGCCTTGGTCCCTGGTCCAAGTGATAAGAAGGGCAGTTTTCTTGAGGGTCCCAAATGTTGATTCTTGGGCCTTTGATCATTTTACACTGACCTAAAAAGATTCCCTCACTGGAGGCCCACAGCTTTATGGCTCTCTGGCCTCACTGTTGTCATACTTATTTTGAGCTATTGGGTTTTTTTTTTGAATGACATTCAAAAAGCAAATGACTATTCTATCCTTCAGTGAAATCCAGCTTTTCTATGAAAAGTCTTCCTCTAAAGTGCTCTTAACAGCATCTACCTGATCTTGGTGGCCATGGTCATGTGTAATCTATCTACTTCATGGCTAATTATGCCACAGAGAGCAGCTGATCACTTCGCTGGCCCACTCTATAGGTGTCCCTTGTTGTCTGACAAGATCTTCATTTGGACCCCAAACCAATCTTGACACTAAATGTATAGTACACCACGATGCTTCTATAGGACTACAATACAATTATACTTTAAAAGATAAATATTCAGGGACCAGCAATTGGCATAATGACTATGTTTTTGGACTCCCATATAGTCGACTGTGGTTCAAGTCCCAGACACGGTGGCTTAAACTCATGCCGGGCGCGTGTGTGTGCGTGCCCAAGATCCCAAGAGAAGAATGAAGGAGAAGGGATTGTGGTGTGGCCATCCTCCCTGGGGGGTGATTTCTTGCTTTCTGTCTCTCTGTCTCTCTCTGTCTTTCTGGTGAGTGCACGCGTCCTATACCAAAAACCTCTCAAAAAATAAATATTCAACTAGCAATAATAAAGGGAGGATTATTTGCTCACTTCTAAATTTCCCTCTGGTGATCAGAGTACTCAGTTATTTTTCCTAAAGCAAGATAAAAGGGTAAAATTCAGCAGAAGGAAATTATGCAGTAGAGGACAGGGGTCATGCACAGATACAAGGTCATCTTTTGTCACCCACATAAGAAAGTAAGCTTATCTGTCTCTTGCTGTCCTGAAAAATGTCTTCTGACATAAATGCCCTGACATAGGAAAGAGAATGCCTATTCAGAACAAGTAGAATGTGAGGGCTCTTCATCTGAAGCCCCAAAGATCTGAAGAGATCCAAAATTCAAGAGGAAAGTAGTCTGGGGTCTCCTTGATGTCCAAACCTGACGGCTGTAATCCCACTGGTTGTTTTGTTTTCTACATCCTTCACCTACAATAGAGGAAACAAAAGGTCAGTACCAGTTAACAAAAGGGAACCTATAATTAGAAAACTTGAACATTAGGCTGACCCTTGGTAAGATATTGATATGTTGAGATGACAACTTTGGGACTAGGCAATTTCTCAACTTACCATCATGCTGGAGATACTTTTCCCATCCTCATGAATGAGCAGGCTATACCAGTTCTTCTCCTCCACAGAATGCTCAGTGTAGATAGATAGATTCTGATATTTCAGGTGGAAGCGCAAATCCTGGCTTTTTGTGCTCAAGTGCAGTTTGAAATAGTGTGGTGTTTTCTGTAGAATGAAGGACCTGTTACACTCACTCTCTACCCCATGTTGAACTTCAAAATCTCACAGCATCTCAGAGTAAGTGAACCTATAGGATACTTTCAACATAGTAATTCTGAGGCTGGCGGGGGCGTGGTGGTTAAGGCACTGGACTCCCACATGGCTGACCACAGTTTCAGTTGCTGGACCTGGGGGCTTGCTTTCTCACTTTCTCTCTCTCTTTCTCACTGCTTCTCTCTCTCTCACTGTCTTCTTTGGTGAGCACATGTACCCTATAGCACATTAAATAAACTTAAATGCATAATTCTTTTTTTAAAAAAAGTAATTTCTTTTTAAAATAATTATTTCATTTTTAAAATTCATTTGTTTATTTTAATTTGAGCAGAGAGAGACACACAGAGAGAGGGAAAGTGAGAAAGCAAGCTACCAGGTCCAGGACTTGAACCATGGTCACCCATGTGGGAGTGTCCTGCTGGCCCCCAAGTCACCTGCTAGCCCCCATCTTTCTTTAACTTAGTAATTCCATTTCTTTTTTTAAAAAGAATTATTTTATTTAGCTTTATTTCTTTAATTTGATCAGAAAGAGAGCGTGAGAGAAAGAAAGCAAGAAAGCAAGCCACCACACCTGGGACTCCAACCGTGGTTAACTAAGTGGGTGTCCAGCACTCCTAACCATGTGCTACCTGCTAGCCCCAGAAATTCCATTTCTAAGAATCAACAATGGGAAAAAATTAGAGTCATGATTAAAGATTTATGAGTAAGGATGCTCATTATCATATTATTTATAGCAATAAAAATTTGAATAACTATAAAGAAATGTTTAAATAAATTTCTCTCTCTCTCTCTCTCTCTCTCTCTCTGTCTCTGTCTCTGTCTCTCTCTTTCTCTGTTTATTTTTGCTATGGAGTGTGTGTTCTTGCCAGAGAGATGCAAAGAGAGATAGAAAGTGAAAAATCACCCCCTGAGAAAATAGCCATGCCACAATCCCTTCTTCTGTATTCTCCTAACAGAATTTTGAGCATGCACACACACATGCCTGACATGTTTTTCAAGCTTCAAGGTCTGGGACTCAAACTATGAAGTCACTCATGTGAATTAAAGAATTATTTTATTCAAATTTATTTATTAATTTTAATTTGATCAGAGAGAGAGAGAAAGTGAGGAAAGCAAGCTGCCAGGTCCAGGACTCAATCTGCAGTCAGCCATATGGGAGTCCAGTGCCCTTAACCATGCTACCTGCCAGCCCCATGCTTATATTATAATTGATGTTAAGAAAAAAATCAAGGGTGGAGACAGCTAGTGGCATGGTGGTTAAGGTGGTTGGATTCCACATGGCTAACAGCGTGATTTGCATCCCAGACCTGGTAGTTTGAAAAACACACCAGGTGTGTGTGTGTGCATGCATGCCCCAAATCCCAAGAGAATGAAAAGAAAGGATTGAAGTGTGGCCATTCCCCTCTAGGAGGTACTTTCTTATTTGATCTCTCTCTGTCTTTCCAGTGAGTGCACATAGCCTATAATAACAAAAAAGAAAAAAGAAAAGAAAGAAGGAAAGAAAGAAAGAAAGAAAGGAGGCAGGGGGAGTCAAGGTTAATACATCATATACAGTTTCAAATTCACTCAGGTCCATACCTCACCTGAAAGGATTTGATGGACTCTACCAATAGAGAATTATTTTCATTTCCTAGTACTGTCACTTTCACCTCATCAGCTGCTACATTCAAGATTTGCAGGAAACTCTCTCGAGAAACTGGCTGGGATGGGGCCATTTCCTTAGGACCGAGAACAAATGTCAAAATCACCAACAAATAACCCTTTTGGTATAAGAACACATATCACAGTCCTATCTCTGATAGCTTAGCCCTATAGTCAAAAAGACATTGTCTACTACCTCTGAAGAGCATTTGGTTAGAAAACTCTGAATTGCAGTTTCCAGAGGGAAACTCAGTAATCTCACACTAGTAAGCATCAATGCCAGGTAACGAAGGCCATGCTTTCTGACTCAGCTATGGCCTCATCTTTTACTCCCCAATAGTGCCTAGCGATCCGCCAAAAGATATGACTATCTATAAAGATATCTCTAAAGAGATGGCTAGATATCAGATATTAGAGTTTGGAAATTCTTTGAAAATACATTCTGAGGGATCAGCAGATGGCATAACGGTTATGTTGCTGGACTCCCATGTAGTTGACTGCAGTTAGAGTCCTGGACCCACTGGTTTAAAACTCACACCAGGCATATGTGTGTGCATGCCCAAGATCCCGAGAGGAAAGTGGAGGAGAAGGGATTGCAGCATGGTCATCCCTCCATCCCCCCGCCCCCGGGGGGTGATTTCTCACTTTCTGTCTCTCTGTCTCTGTCTCTCTGGCAAGCACACACACCCTATAGCAAAAATGTCTCTTAAAAAAGAAAAGAAGAGAAAGGACATTCCAAATAATTCTGAATCACTCACTGATTCAAAATGAGGTTGGGCCTCATTTTGCATTGCTGCTCGACCTCTGTATCTACTGACATTTGTTTATCACACATATTTACTACACACCTCCTTTAAAACAACTATTGTGCTAGGTCTCAGAGAATCAAGATTTAACAAGTCAGAAGAATGAATAAGATAGACACAGTCCTGCCCTCATGGACCTTAAGATTTAGTGGACTCACGTTTATTTTTATCTCTACAGCTGCCGCAGCTGCAAATGCCAGACATGCAAGG